AGCTACTTGGGAGGCTGAGGCAAGAGAATCGCTTAAGTCCAAGAGTTGGAGGTTCCTGTGAGCTGTCACACCAAAGCACTCTACAACAGGCCACATAGTGAGACTCCTTCTCAAAAAAAAACCAGTGTTCCCCAGATATGAAATATTTGGCAGTATTTAATCAAAGTGATAAGAAAACAAAAAAAACCTAGTCATAAACCATTCACCAATCTCCTTTCCAAATTTGTAATTTTTGGCTTGGTGCCCATAGCTCAGTGGTCAGGGTGCTGGCCACATCAACATGGGCTGGCAGTTTGAACTCTGCCCCCACCTGCTAAAGAACTACAACGTCAACAACAACAACAAAAAATAGCTGGGCGTTGTGGCAGGTGCCTATAGTCCCAACTGCTGAGAAGCCTGAGGCAAGAGAATCACTTAGCCCAAGAGTTTGAGATTGCTGTGAGCTGTGATGTCCCAGCGCTCTACTGAGCACAAAATAGTGAGACTCTGACTCCGAAAAAAAAAATTATAATTTTTAATACCAACCTGGCTAATTATTTAATATGAACAATTGTGAATGCAGACATAAATAATCTTTTGCAAAAGATAGTTTCTCCCAATAAAAAATAATTCTAGATACAAATCTACAGAAAAGGCAAATTAATCAATATTCTTCAGTCTTAAATCAGGCCAAGGTTTGGTTTTCAACAGTTCTTTGTGTAGCTACTATGGTAACTGTATAACTTTTTAAATGATTTATTATATACTTCATTTCAATAAGAGTTATTTATTAAGGACTCCATTCACCAATCTCAAGTTATACAGAGAGTCATGGAGCAGACAGGCCGGTAACATTTTACCATAGTAATGTAAAAATATGTGTTTTGACGAAAAAATAGAACAGTTAAAATTAATTTTTTTTTTTTTTTGAGACAGGGTCTTACTATGTTGCCCTCAGTGAAGTGCCATGGCATCACAGCTCACAGCAACCCCAACTCCTGAGCTTCAGCGATTCTCCTGCCCCAGCCTCCAAAGTAGCTGGGACTACAGGGGCCTGCCACAATGCCTGGCTATTTTCTTGTTGCAGTTGTCACTGTTGTTTAGCTGGCCTGGGCTGGGCTAGAACTGCCAGCCAAGGTGCCTGTGACTGGCACCCTAACCACTGTGTGACTGACTGGTGTGCAGAGCCAAAAATTGAACACTAAGATCAAGTTTTCTGAATTAATCATTACTTAGACGTCTTTCTTCAAGAGCTACTTTTCTTAACTGTAACCTGAATTTCAAGGCCTTATGCTGGGCCAAACTCCAAGCTTAGTGTTATTTAGTAAGGTATAATCATTCCCATTTTACAGAAGAGGAAGCTAAAGTAACTTCTCATGGCCACAGTGAAGTAGCAAATGGAGATGCTTTCCTTTTGAATTTTCCTCTACATTATATTCCTAGGTAATTGTTTCTCCTTAACATCCTACAGACACCATAGCTACTGAGTTTTATTTTTTGACCAATTTTTCGATGGAACCATCTGTGACTGTGACTACAGACTGTATTTGGAATCAGATGCTGATTTCAGCATATAAAATACTTTTACTCATTGGATGAAAGATATGCTAATCCTTACCACACCCTCTCATTCAGGAATTCTAAGCTAAAGACCCAGAAATGTAAGACATAATTAGTGTCATAATGAGTCAGTCAGTGTAAGAGAATAAAATGTCTAAGTCCTGACTCTCACTTCCTGCTGTGATAACTTCCCTTCCTGAAGATGTTGTAAGACCTATAAGATAGTATCAAAGAACTCTAAGCTCCTGCACTCAGAGCGCTCCATTATTTCTCTGAGATTATATTAGGCAAAGATCAGTCTCTGCCTAATCTTCCTATAGTTACAACTGATAAATTATTACAATTCCATGGATCACAAAACCAAATTCTACCTTCAAGATCCTCTTCTCACCTTTTATCTTCCTAAGATAGAGCTTTGGTAAATTTTTAAAAACAAGACTATCAAAAAAAAAAAAAAAAAGTTGTGCTAAATTATTTTTAAAAGTCACCCATCTGCTCTCTTTTAGATGGTGTTGTTATAGCTGTCTTTCTACCAAACATTTTCTGTATATTGTATAGGATTTTGTGCAACATTCACATTACAACAGAAGACACAAGAAATCTCTGAGAATGAACCTTCCAGATACTGCAAACGTCCCCTCTTAAATTTTTCCAGTACAAATTTTACATACCATGGAAAATGATCAATTCCCCAACTACAATTTTAACTCATCTAAATAAAATAGGTAAAATACTGGCCAAGATTTCAAGTCATTAAAAAGTGAGGGGTTGAAAACTGAGTGACTACACCGAATTAAACAACTTAGGCAAAATGTGGACTGTTATCAATCTACATAAAGACCCAATGTCTACCAGAATAGCGTTTTAAAATACATTTGAACTGTGAACTTGGTTGTGGTGGCAGTGGTGAGAGGATGTGGAGGATTATAAAAGCTTGAAACTCACTGCCTTTATAACTGCAAAGGTAAATTTAACATCAAAGAAACTTAAAAACTCCTCTGAGTGGTCCACAGAAAAGACAACGATCTCCAGAACTTGCGAAGATCTTGGGGAGTTAGCCAAATCCTGATTCTGCAGACCGTGGCCTCCCCATACTTTCATGCACACCTACCCTCTGGTCAATCGAATAATATCCCCGGGCTGTATGAGACCTCCGATCTCATCCCACACGGAAATAGTGATGCTGCCCGTTTTATCTGCTACTTTACACGATCGCACTTCATGGCCGTCTTTGGTTTTGGTCACGCGTCCTGTGGGGATTTAAAAATCAAAGAGGAGAGAGTGGTGTGTTAGATGAAAACGTCCAGAAGGGTTTCCTAACTCCTCCTCCAGTATTTTATTTAATACATCTGGAAGGTGGAAAAGGCCAGGCCCAGCCCAGAGTTGTCGCCG